GTTCAAATAAACTTTAAGAAGTCTTTGGTAAACAGAAAGTACTTTGCTGGATCACAAGCTTAGTGAGCTTTTATTATATAATAAATTCTGATTATATAATAAACTCTTTGAGGCCAAGGATCCTGTGAGATACCAGTTCTGTGTCTCCACAGCACTTAATCCAGTGTACTGCAGAGTAAATGGTGCTTAATAAAGACAGGCAGATAGGCAAAACTCAGGAAATGAATTGTGATGAACAGTAGTTTAATTCTCCATGCAATAACGCCACACAGCTCAATCAATTGGAAAATCAGTTTCCTGAATCCGCCCTCACGGAGATTTGCACAGAATGTTTGAGCCTGAGGGGGACTTGGAGCTTTGCTAATGTCCTCATTTTGCAGAAGGAAATGAGGCCTGGAGGAATTATATGAGCCTCACTGAACATCCCACTGTTAATGGCAGTGTTGTCGCCTCTGACACCTACAACTGGACTCTTCCTTTTGCCTTGATGTTTCTCAGAAAGTACAAACCCATCTCTCATCCCCACCTCTTGCTCCTGGTTTAAAATTCATGGTTTCAGTTACAGGAAAGAGAAACAACTTGTCAAGCTGGCTCCAGCAGGATGCTGAACAGGAGACATGACTACAGAACAAGTTCATGATCAGTATTTACCCAGCACTGTTCTGTGCCCAGCCTGGGTAAGAGAAGCTCTCTGGCCTTCAGGAACTCTGTCTATTGGGGAAAGGAAGATGGACACCTGTTAATAGTTAGAGGATATCCCTGTTTTGTAGGATTAAAGCCTAAATGAGTAGCTGGGTAGAGCCGTGGGGACTAGAGAAAGGATGGAATGTTTGGAGGCCACAGAGGTTCTAGGACTGAGGAGAGGGCAGAACAGCCAGGTTAGAATAGCATGGACCTGGGTTTGTGCTTCAGCCTGTGGGTGTTAAAGAGCTTGGGAGGTTTCTGTGGGGGACAGGATGGGATCCAGTACTGACTGGATTTAGGAGGACCAATATGGTAGCAACAGTATGTGACAGGCTGGCACCGGGAGAACCTTGAGGAGGGCTTCCAGGAGGTGAAGGCTTGGAGCAGGTGATAGCAGTGGCCAGAGAAAGAAAAAGGCAGATGTAAGAATGCTGTGCTCAGACCAGTGTTTCTTAAAAAGTAATGAGAGAATAAGGCCAGTGGGTTGCCAACAGGCAAACATGCCCAAGTATGGTCCACAAGCTTCCTGGACAAAAGAACCATTTCTCCCAAAGGGGCTGTCATTCGGATCACCTTGGCACGTCCTTCCTCTGAATGTGAACTTGCTCAGGAACGTCGAGTTCTCTGATGTATAGGGACAGTGATGGTCCCCTGGAGAAGGAAGTAGAGGGAGACCATTGCAAAGTGACCTGAGAGAATGGGAGTAGAGGAAAAGATGATAAAAACACCAATAGTATCATTTGCAGCTTTTAGAGTTTTATTTTTTTACCTTTAGACCTTAATCCATCTGGAATCACTGTTTATTGAATATTTAGGAATTCAGCCTTTACGAGTCTTTTGAAATATTACCCTTAACACATACTAAATTTCCATGAATATCTTCCCATTCTCTTGCTTTAAAATTCAGAAATCATTTCCCATTGTCTTTAGAATAAAATTTTAATTCTTCATCCAGGCTTAAAAGGCCCTAGCCTGCTTCTGAAACTCACCTACTACTCTGCCCTCTGCAAACTGTGCTCCAAACATGAGACTTCCTTCTGTCCAGACAGTTTGAGATCATTTCAGGCTGAGTTTTGCACTAATTTGATTTATTTATTTTTAATCCTCATCCGAGGATATTTTTCCATTGAGTTTTTCAGATAGAGTGGGAGGGAGGGAGGAGAGGAGGGAGGTAGATAGAAACATCTCCCTGTTGTTCCATTCATTGGTTGATTCTTGTATGTGCAAGGTGTATTGCAACCTTGGTGTATTGGGATGACGCTCTAACCAGTTGAGCTACCCAGCCAGGGGACTAATTTAACTTTTTCAACAAGTCAATTCACTTCTATATTTTAAATACTTATATTAGACTTATCTTACATAATATCACTAAAAGCATGAATTAGACATAGTTATATTTTTCTAATATATTAAACTGAATAGATAACAATGAAAATAAAGTTTGTCCATGTAAATTATTTTGTGTACTACGAGCAGTTTGAGAAACATTGATCTGAGCAAACAGTTTTCCAGATGAAAATCTCCACTCAGAAGGATGCTACTTGGGCTGGCTGCTCATACCTGTTGATTGCACAGGTGGCTTCAGTTTGTGAAAATCATCAAGATGTTTACTTTCTGCATGATGATTATAATCCAATAAAGTTGTCAAAGTAAGCTTTAAAGTTTTAAAAGTATCAATGTGTTGTTTTCTGCTAATGAGATCTAGTACACTACTCTCACATAGGTTATGCAAAGAAATAGACTAATGAAGTAATAGTGAAACAAAGTTAAAATACAGTAGCAGTTCTCTTCTTTGGAGTTCTGATGTTCCTGCAGGCAAATCCATCCTCCCCAAGACCTGCGAAAGGGCCACAGGTGGTGTCATAGGCCAGTCGGAACCTTCATAGCATGATAATATGTCAGTGAGTGATCTGTAGGGCAAAATCAGACAATAAAGCTAAAGGCCAGAGCCTCGATGTCCTTACCTCTTAGTCTTTATTAAAGGTAAACAGAGATAAATGGAAAATGCCATCCTGACCCCATGGAGATCAAATTAAGGCACGAGATTGCAGGGAATCAAATATCTTGTACTGACCTGTCACAAGCACTTACTCAGATACAAACAAGCACAGACCACACTCCTTTTTTTTTTTTTTTTTTAACGTCGGGTGATTCTGGTTTTTAGATTTGTAAATTCTCTGCTTTCAGAGTCTGACTGCTGGCTGGGAGCCCACAGCACTGACGTTAATAAAGTTTACAAAATTATTGATACTAAAAACTCACTGCCAAATAGAAGCTGCTGCTTCCGGCCATGGAGATTCAAATAGCTTGTGTCTTTTTCCTTTAAAAACAGTATAAGCCAGTTTCTTTATGTGGGTAGCCACCATAACTGAAACTAATCGCCAATCAGTGACTGCATAATATTAAGAACTGTTCCAATCTTCTAGGACATCTATTAATTTGCTTCACGTTAATCACCTGAAAATTCAACCTGTAGCTTTTCAATTACAAGTCACACTGGTTTCATGACCATCTGGAGGCCAGCTGAACAGGAGAGACCCATGGAAGAAGATTGCTGGTCAGAGGGACATCAGGAGGTTTGTTTACTCAAGTGTCTCAGAGGCCCATTCATTTCCTGTTTCCTACCATGTAGGTCTCCTTTCTGTGGTGCCTCTGCACGTCAGTGGGGAACTACTTCTTACGCCTGATCTTCCAGGAACCGGAAGCCTTAGTATGTAATTCCTGACCTTTATTTATTTTTAAGAAAAAATTTTTTTTCTTCATTGACTTTTAGAAAGAGGAAGGGAGAGGGAGAGAGAGAGAGAGAGAAACATCAATGAGAGAGAACATCGACTGGCCGCCTCCTGCATGCCCCCCACTGGGGATTTGGTCCACAACCTGGGCATGTGCCCTGACTGGGAATCAAACCGGTGACCTCTGGGTGCATGGGTCAACGCTCAACCACTGAGCCACACTGGCCAGGCAATAATTCCTGACCTTTAAAAGGCGTCTCTCTCCATCCTAGAGTCCCTAAGAAACCTGCCTACCAGGACACATTCACTCTGAATGTACACATTAGGCTCATCTACTTGCATAATCTGGTTTCTGGAAAGGTTCGGGGGTCTTATGCCAGTTAAATTTCACCTGAAGTTTCTCCAAATCTAATTGCAGTGTTGCCAGCTTCTCTTGTTGTCCCCCCACACCTCCAAACAAGTGTGATATAACCCTTTTCTGTCCATGTAATTTGTTTGGAGAACTGTCAAGGTAAGGATTAGTGTGAGGTTTCCAATGACAGTTTCAGGGAGCATGGTGCCAGGTGATGTCATCTACCAACCGAGTCTCAAATAGGGGTTCAGGACACGGCCATGGAGCAGACCATCTGCCAGCACATGCCTGCACCAGCAATTTAAAGCCACAAGGGTATAGTCAATAATATTGTATGATGTCAGATGGGTACCACACTTATAGGGGAACACTTCATGAGGTACACAAACATCTAATCACTATGTTGTATACCTGAAACTAATATATTGTATGTTAACTATAACTGAGAAATAAGTTTTAAAAATAATCTAAAAAAAAAAAGGTAGCCCTGGCCAGTTTGGCTCAGTGGTTAGGGTGTTGGCCCCCCGGACTGGAGAGTCCTGGGTTCGGTTCCCACTGGGGGCACGTGCCTTGATTGCAGTTTGTCCCTGGCCCAGGTTGGGGGTCGTGTGGGTGGCAGCCAGTCTATGTTTCTCCCCCTCCTCCCCTGCACTCTATCTGAAGATAAATGCAAAAATGTCTTCGGATAAGGATAAAAAAACAAAAAAGGTAAAGCCACTCCCTGGTGAAGTCAGGACAGAGCAGGTATGAGGGGGTCAACCTTTCAGAGGGTGACAGAGGGTGCTGGCAGCAGGCAAGCAGAAGGCAGAAACAACCAGAAGAAACAGTCCACCTGGACAAGGAGTCCTCTTTCTCTTCCACCACAAACTGAGGAGGCATCCGCCCAGCCTATCATCACTGAGCTTGCAAATACCGAGGGGGGTGGAGCATGTTTGTTTTCTCCTCGCCTTTCACATTTGCAATCTGGTGGAGGCTTTCTTCTGTTCTTTTCTTTACTTTGCGAATTTTAGCTGCTATTTTAGAAGGTCCAAATGTCCCTTCCACTCCCAGAAGTATTATAAATTGGGCAGTTCTGGATTTGGAGAGGCAAGGTCTGACTAAGATGTGAGGCACTGCTTGGAACCACATTTAAATCTCGTATGATTCTGGGACACACCTCCTCAACTGTGTGATCGCAGTTTTACAGCACGGCACACTTCTCGTATTTGATCCAGCATAGAGCTTTATTCCCTTCCAGAAATTCATCTGGTGGAAGGCTGTTCTCGTAGGCCAGGTTCTCCCAGAAGTAGTCTCTGAGTCAAGGATTCAGGAACAAGAGATTTATTAAGGAAAGGCTGCCAGGTGACACCCACCAGTGAATGAATGGGAGGACAGCAAGGCCTGATTCCCAGCGGAGCTCTGGGGGGTCAATTATGCCTCAGAGCACATCTTTCTTTGAGACAAGGAAGCTGGGCTTTCATGCTCCCAAACTAGCCAATCACTGGCCTCTGGCCGGGGGAACAGTACGAGGGAGTGTGGCTTGGGAGCTATAAAATTCCCAGACACCAGTGGTTCTCTGTGTGGGCTGAATAGCCTCCAGTACTTGCTGGCAGAGGCCAACTGAGGACTGCAGAGCACTTAGCTGGCAGCTGGACACACAGAGCTGGCAAGACGCACCTGAAGGGACCTGGGTGGGGCACTGACAGCGTCGGCCACAGGGCTGCCCTCCATATCCGTGTGGCCAGCTTTCACCACCAGGCACCAGTTATGGGTCTTCCATCACATTCTGCTGCAAGAGGAAATGAATAATATCTTTGGAAAGTCCAGGGGTCAGCTCTTCATCATCCAGAGACACACTTCCTTCTCCCAGTGGGTAGAAGCGGGCATCCCTGGAGTACTTCTGTAAGACGGAGCAGCCATCCCGGTTGAAAATGACCCGAGCCATTTGAAAACTGCGGAGGGCATACTTTTGGTTCTCCTGGTCCTTCAGTTCGTTGATTTTCTGAGACAGGCACCGGCAGACAGATGTGGAGAGTGCGTCTCCAGAGGCTGGCTGTGGACGGCCAAACATCTCATAGAACGTGTCCAGGGATTTCCGAAGCCCATCTTCCTCTGTCTTGGTCTCTGGTTGGCTTTTCACAGAAGGGTCAAGCCAGAAGTTCTCAGAGGTCCAGGAATCATTTTGTGTAGTGTTTACATTACTGCTGTCTGCAAAACAAACACATCCCAATACTCAAGCACATAGTCAAAAACACCAGAAAGATAATCAAGAGCGGATGATGTCTCTTTTCAACTTAATACACTTACTGCTACTGGGTAATGAATGAGCAATGGGCAGAATCAGATGATTTCAGAATCTGTTCTCACCATCCTGGGGTTATGCCATTTGTTTGCTCAAAACAAGAACATTTTACTTGCATGTTTCAGGGGTTCTTAACGGGAGGTCCTTGTAAAGAAGTTTGGGGTGGCTGTGAAGTTGGACAGGAAACATATCATATCTTTATATTCACTAACCTCTACCTAAAATCAAGCAGTTCCTTCTACGATGAATACAGGCAATAAACCCATTAGCAGAAATATCTATGACTTTGTCACCAATAGATCACAGCTATTTTCATATCACATTATACCTTGTTGAAGATGTTTTGAAATATAATTTATGCCCATTACCATGTTATGGGCTGGACTGTGTCTCTCCAAAATTCTGTTGAAGCCCTAATCCTTAAAGGAGATAGGGCTTTTAGGTTACTAAGGTTAAATGAGGTTATAAAGGTGGGGCCTCAATCTGTTAAGATTGGTGGCCTTATAAGAAAAGGAAGATCTCTCTCTTCATGTGCAGGAACCGAGGAAAGTCCATGGACACAACAAGAAGGTGACTTTCTGCAGGCCAGGAAGAGAGTCTTCACCAGAATCTTGATCTTGGACTTCCAGCTTCCAAAACTGTGAGAAATAAATTTCTTTTGTTTAAGCCATTTAGTTTATTATATATATATATATATATATATATATATATATATATATACAGTGATACCTCGGTTCTCGAACGCCTCGGTTTTCGACCAAATCGGTATTCGACCAGGAGATTCGAGAAACTTTTGTCTCGGAATCCGAACAAATATTTGGAACTCGAACTTCCGAGATGAGCCGAGTTGAGCCAAATGGCGTTCATTCGGCCCAGCGCGCCTTGCTTGTGTCATCAGTGTGAGTGCAGAGAGAGTCACGCTTTGTGGAGAGTCACGCTTTCCTATTGGGTTTCATTGCTTCGGTTCTCGAACAATTCGGTTCTCGACCGTCCTCCTGGAACGAATTATGTTCGAGAACCGAGGTATCACTGTATATATTTTTTTTATCCTCATCCGAGGACATTTTTCCATTTTTTGTACAGACAGAGTGTGAGGGAGAGAGAAGAAGAGAGAGAGAGGGAAATATCGATGTGAAAGGGCCATATCGAGTGGCTGCCACCCGCACGACCAACCAGGGCCAGGGACAAACTGCAACCGAGATACGTGCCCTTAGCGGGAACCGAACCCAGGTCTCTCCGGACCACAGGCCGACGCTCTAACCGCTGAGCCAAACTGGCCAGGGCTAGTTTATGATATTTTTTATGGCAGTCCAACCAGACTAAGACAACTACTATGAAATCACCACAGCTATTAGTGCTGACATTAGAGCTTATTATCTAAGTGTTAGGTTTTTTTTTTTTATCTTCATCCAAGGACACTTTTCCATTTTTTGTTCAGATAGAGTGGGAGGGAGAGAGAGAAACATCAACGTGAGAGAGACACATCGAGTGGTTGCCACCCACACAACCCAACCAGGGCCGGGGACAAACTGCAACTGAGGTACATGCCCTTAGCAGGAACTGAACCCGGGTCTCTCTGGACCACAGGCTGATGCTCTAACCACTGACCAGGGCTCTAAGTGTTAGTTTTAAAAACACATATTCATTACAATATCACACATTTGTTCTTTAGGTATTTTAATAACTATATTTCAATTTTTTCCTCGGTAAGCCTATATATTTTACTTTCTGCAGTTAAAAACTTTATTCTGCAAAAGGGTTGACTGGCTTCACCAGATGCCAAAGGGATCCATTGCACAACACAGTGAAGACCCTTAATGCAGACAGTTCTGGGCATTTATACACAGTTCACACATTTCTTTCTTTACTCCCTACTATAATCCTATAGACTCTGTCTCTAAATTGAAATCACCACCTTTGTGTCTTTTAAAAGAGCAGTAACAAATAAACCAAGTGATTTAATAATAGACAGTAAGAAGCCAGGATTGGAGCCAAATCCTAGTTCTTGAGCTAACTGGCTATACCTCTCTGGGCACCCTGATTCTTAACATAGGAATCTCTTAAGTTTCCTGATACAAAGAACTGTCTTATCATTGTGTTCTAGAAAAGCAAATAATTTGTAAGCTGCTGAATTCCTTGTACAGCCACCAGTTTTATGATTTAAACTATTATACTTTAAATCAAAATAGTACATTTTCCCTTTTTTGTTCTGACATAAGCTGCAGTTAATTACTAGCTTTAATTCTACACACCCACACCCCATCCCCGCGAACTCAATTAGTAGTTATAATAAAAAATATCTGTACTTGCTAGTGATGAAGAAAGTTGCATGATGCAGTGGTTGAAGTTTTAGAAAAGGAGCTGAGATTTGGGGTTTTGATTCTAGTTTTGTTACCAGCTAGTTATCTCTCCTTGAACAAGCCAGATCACCTTTCTCTTTTTTAAATATATTTTTATTGATTTTTTTGGACAGAGAGGAAAGGAGAAGGGGAGAGAGAGAAACATCCATCACCTGCCTCCTGCACAGCCCATATTGGGGATTAAACCTGCAACTTGGGCATGTGCCCTGACCAGGAATCGAACCTGTGACCTCTCAGTGCATGGGACAGTGCTCAATCCACTGAACCACACTGGAAGGCAAGCCAGACCACCTTTCTGAGATTCAGAGATTCAGTTTTTTCATCCACAAAACAAGAGTTCTACTAAACAGTCTCTCTTCCAGAGTCTCTATGGTCACATAGGGAAGAGAAAAGTATATGATCCAAAGCATTAGAGTATCCAGAAAGAACGTGGACATGTTCTATGAGATACACGTAGACCCACACAAGGACAAGCATTCATTGATCCAACACACAATTAGCCCAACAACAAAGCACTTAGCCCACCTTGAAGAATGGCTGATTGCAGGCTGGTGATAGCAAAGTGCAAGATGAACATTTTACTGTTCTAGAATGTTCGAAGAATGACAGCAGCATGTAAGGGGAGGGGGCGGAGGCCAGCTCAAAAGAGATTCTCCTGGCCAAATCTGGAACAACTTCAGCATCAAAATAAATCATGAAAGTATCAGATTATAACCCATTTATTAAAACAGAAAACCATTGCCATGGCTGGTTTGGCTCAACGGTTAGAGTATTGTCCCAAAGACCAAAGAGTCTCGGGTTCAATTCCTGGTCAAAGGCACATACCTCAGTTTGGGGTTCAATCCCCAGCTCCAGTCAGGGTCATGCAGGAGGCAGCCAATCGATGTGTCTCGCTCACATTGATGTTTCTCTCTGTCTCTCTTTCCCTCCCTCCCTCCGACTCTATCTAAAAAATCAATGGAAAAGTATCTTTGGGTGAGGATGAAAATAAATAAATAAATACATACATACATACATAAATAATTAATAGAAAACCATGAAAAATAATTGAAAACTTGATAAGGAACAGGATATTTACAAGTTTCAGAGTCCTTCCCTATAAAATACTTACTAGTTACAAAGTGGAAAAAATACTGTAATGGTGAAGATTGGTAAATACCTTAATCAAGTGATCTTGGTGAGCACCACTAGTAATGGGACAAAACAAAATCAGGTGCCACCTGACCAGATGCAACAGGAAGACCCAGCATTGCTTCCCTGAGAGTCCTGCCTAAGGTGCATCACCTGAACCCGACTACGAGAAAGTCACAGACAAAACCAAATTCAGAGACATGCTACAAAATGACTGACCTGTACTCTTTAGAAGTGCCCAGGTCATGAAAACCAAGGAAAGACTAAGCAATTGTTCACAATTGAAGTAGATTAAAGACACATGACAGTTAAACACAACATTATTTTCAACTGGATCTTTTTGCTATAAAGAACATTATTGGTCCTGACCGGTGTGGCTCAGTTGGTTGTGTGTTGTCATGTGCACCGAAAAGCTGCTGATTCAATTCCCTGTCAGGGCACATGTCCGGGTTGTGGGCTCGATCCCCTGTAGCATGCATGCAGGGGTCAGCCAATGTTTCTCTCTCTCCCTTCCTCTCTCTTTCTAAAAATCAATTTTTTAAAATCCTATGTGCATATATGCATAACCAGCAGACACAGAATATAGTGCAGTGAAGGCCTGGGTGGGGGCGGGACCAGGGTGGAAGGGGTCAATGTGAGGAAAAAGAGGAATATTTGTAATACTATCAACAATAAAGGTAATTTTAAAAAAAAACTTTAAAGAAAGAACATTATGTGGACAACTGGATGGGGGCTGAGGGTTAGATGGCAGTACTGTTATCATTGTTAATGTCCTGATTTTGATGGTTGCATTGGGGTTGTGTAGAGGAATGTCCTTGCTTGTAGGAAAATCAGGGATGGTGCGCATCAGGTTGGCAACTTCCAAATAATTTATGACAAAAAGTTATTTGTATTGTACTTGCAAGTTTTCTGTGAGTTTGAGATCATTTCAAGAAAAAATGCAAACAAACCTCTGAAGGAATAATTGTGGCCCAACAACAAAAGCCTTAGCTCAGGGCTTGGCAAAGAGCACTTGCCTAACAAATGGTACTGCTGTTAGAGAGCTGAGGGGAGAAGGGAAGGGGTCCTGCAATGGCAGGGTGAGGGGTTCCTTCCCACCTTCTTCCCCACAGATGATCCTGTCCTGGGGGCAGTAAGGCAGGAAGACAGGGGCTGAGACGGGTCAATGGGAAGAATGAGAGAAGGGAGATGCTTGACAGTAACCCGGGGCAAGTTGGAGAGTTCCTGAAACTGCCCACCCAGGGCAGCCATTTATACAAAGCATTCCAAGGAGCAGAGCATGTACTTATTAAGTAACTGATCAATAACTTTGATATGCAGGATTTTTAGTTTTCATCGGAGTTTCATTTTCATTTTTAATTTTAAAATCTGAAATTAGGCATCCTAAATTCAGTGTCCAAAAGACACCCCCACCC